TATGTTGTATATATTATATAATTCAATGTATATTAATGCGTCCACCACATCGAGTTACGCGGCACTCTGTCGACGGAGTGGCGCGGCAGGTACTGTTGCAAATCTCCGTTGCCGAGGGTTCGGCCTCGTTCGGCGAGGACTCGGCCTCGAGTTGGTGAGGACTTGGCCTCGGGCGGCGTGTAAGTCTCGGCTTCTTGCCGAAGGACTCGGCCTCCTACTGTGCGTGAGGCACGCTCGACCGGAACTCGCTTACGCCGGATGCGTCCGCCGGAAGTAGAGCCACATCGCAAGTAGTCGTCACTTCGGACGCGTGGCGTGATTCCGTGGTCCGTTCTGGAAAGATCCGCGAATCGTGGACTGTTCGATTGCACGGTCGATGTCACAAATTCACACTGCGCTGAGTATATGCGATGTTTCGATACTTCGACACGGTGTTCACGACTCGCCGTTGCAGTTCGTCACTAAACGCGGGGTCCGATCGGGTCTCTTGTCGCGGCACCTTAGCTCGAATGTTGTTACGTGCCGCGACATTATTGATAGGTCCTCTTCAGTTCCTAAGCTGACCTTATGTTTGGGTCCGTAACCTAATAAGCCTAACCATAATAAACATAAATGCTTATACGTTCTGTATCTATTGTTTACTTTATATAAACGCTCCACCCGCGAGACTCTAAACGAAAATCTCTCTTGAGCGAACAGTTAGTTCTGTGTCGTCTCTCGTAGCGAATACACCTCGCCTTATAATTGTCCAGAATAAAGTATTTTATAAGTGAACAGTTGTCGATTTACTTCGATACCTTACGTGGCTTCGGCTCGTAACAATGTTCGATGTCCGCACCGCGCTTCGACATTCGTTTTCAAGAACAAACGTGAATGGATCCGGCTATCGCGTTCGTGTTCTTTCGCGTTCACGACCCGCGACACTCTTCTCGGAGAGTTCAGCGATCCGAAGAAAGAATTATGTTCGGAATTTTTTATTAATCGAACGAAGTCGTCCTACGAAACTTGTCGGCGCGTGCACACCTTTTATCCGAGATCGAACAATTAAGAAGAAGGACTTCCGAAGGGTTGTCATATATATATGGTGCTTTCTCCGCGTTGCATCCCCGCTACTGACGCATTATCCAATCGCGACCCGCGCGTCCCTCAAGTATCGATTGGCTATCGAACGCGTTAATCGGAGGGATCTCTTCATGGTCCGTGCTGTATTTCGGCGGTGTTGGTTGCGCGACGCCGCCGAAGTATTGTTCGCGCTTGCTCGCATCGCCTGTGCAGTGTGCGAACGAAACGCGATGCGTTCTGCTACGTGTGAGCGATATATGATACGCTCCACCGACTGTCCACTACTTACGTACGTGTAATTTGTCGTGTTCATTATTTGCGTATGTAGAGGACGGATTTTCAGGTTGACCGGGGTTTTGCGGGGAGAAAGATTTACGAACCAGGGTATGACCTGGGGAAAGAACCAAGGAATATATCTTGAGGAAGGGTCGTCGTCGTGCTAGTTGAAGAACGCGTAGTTACTTTCGGAAAAAACACTTTATTCCGAATGAATACAAAGCTTGTGCTCATGGCGGGAGCACGAGATAAACTGGTCATAACCGGTTACCCACGAAGTACGACATATTTGAAAAAGTCAAGCGGCCAATCGCGGAGCTGCACGGCATCGCCTGATGCAGCGCGCATGCGCAGAGGTATTACTACACGAACGACCAATAAGAGTTCGTGAATCACAGTTTCACCACAGTATAACCAGTAGGTCCACTCAGCGAAAAACTAAGTCTTCGCGCAGGTATCGCTGCGCAACTTTTGTTTTGGATTGGATTCAATGAAATGCAAGATAGGAACGTACATACATATGTGCAGACAATTTATAAGCAATTACATCAGAAATTTTCTTTAGTGATCACTCCTACAAATAATTGTTATTAATAAAATTTTTAGTTTTATTCGATTCACACATTGAATTTATCGATTTACTGTATCGAATCCATATTATTACTTATCTGTTTTATTACTTGTGTATGCACCATGAAGTATGAATAAGGAGACGTAACTCCATAGATTGGAAGTGAGCACAAAAAATGTTCCGTGTACTGCCAGGTTTGTTGAACGGAATAACTTGCAACATTTCGTCGCCATATTGAAATTCATATACG